AGCCAAGCTGGTCCAGTTGAAGCTCAACGAAAACATGATCTGCAAGATCCAGAACCTGCTGGTGACTCAAAGAAATCAAGAATTGGAGAGGAACAGCCAGTGACACCAGAGCCTGATGATCTGATGCTTAGCACAGGTGAACGCTCTCCCAAGACTCAACGTCTGGCTGAATCTCCTCGACAGCAACGTATGCAACAGGTCACCAGCACAGACCTTGATTTGTACGAGCACGAAGACTCTGCTGTTCAATTCAAGTTTGACAACAGCGACTTGGACAAGCTTGAGCAGTATGAGTTTGAGTTTTACGATGATGAGCTGCTTGCAACAGATGGCAGCGACACCAACGACAGCACTGAGCTCTCCAAGATGATTGGTCAGTTGACCTTTCCTTTCAGTTCCAAGGAGCCTGAGCTGAGTGATGCTGAGCTTACAAAGCTTGATGCTCTGGCCGACCGAGTTGAATTGGATCGCCTGGAAAAGCTTGCAGTGCTACAAGATCCCAGCACTGTTCCCAGTGACTCCAAGGTGCTGAGTACCAGGTTCGTGCGCACTTGGAGGGAGAAGCATGACAGCAAGGGCAATCCAATCTGGCTGCGGCGGTCACGCTTCGTGGCCAGAGAATTCGCCTGGCTTGAGCCTGAGCGTGAGAGCCTTTTCTCTCCTGCAAGCGGAAGCATCATCTCAAGGATTCTTCCAACCATCTTCCTTGAGATGCGAGAAGATCATGATGCAGTTCTTGCAAGCTTGGATGTCCGTGACGCTGTTCTCACGGTGCTGCAGGAGAAGCCCACTTTGGTGCATACAACAGATGCAAGTGGTGTGACCAGGAGTTTTGCCCTGGGCAAGGTGCTTCCAGGCCAGCGGGATGGCTCACTTCTTTGGTACAAGGCCATCATTGCTTTTCTGAAGAAGAATTTGGACCTTGAGGAGCACACGCCTTACCCATGTGTGCTGAAGTCCAAGGACAACTCATGCGTGGTGATGATCCACGTTGACGATTTGCTCATCGCTGGAAAACGAAGTTTTGTGATGGGAAAGTTTGCTGAAGAGTTTCGCAAGGTCTATGACATTTCAATGCAGTGTCTTGAGCGGCCTGGCGACGAGATCACCTTCCTCAAGAGGCATCATGTGCTTCATGCAGATGGCAGACTGACCATCCACACGCACCACAAGCATGTTTTACAACTATGCTCTCTGCTGGGACTGAATGCCAAGAACCAGAACAAGAAAAGCCCAGCTCATGCAGACATTGATCTGGAAGACAAATCTGAGGACCTCCAATCAGGAGATGCAACTACCTTCAGAACGTGCGTTGGAATCCTGATGTACCTGGCGAACGACCTTCCTCATTGCCAGTATGTGATCAGGTACCTTTCAACATACAGCTCCAAGCCGACGCAAAAGAGTCAAACAGTGCTGAGACACCTTGTCTCTTATCTGGCCTGCCACACATCAATCTCGATGTCTCTGAAATGGTGTGGAAGAACATCTGGTATTTACCATGGCTATCCAGATGTTCAGCAGTCAGAGAACGTCCTTGAAGTTTTCACAGACTCTGACTGGGCCTCTGACAGACAGACCCGAAGGAGCGTTAGCTGCTGCTGCATCTTCTTTGGTGGCTGCATGATTTTCTCAGCGTCACGAACGCAGAAAGTGGTCTCACTCAGTTCTGCAGAAGCTGAAGTTTACGCTTGCAGCAGCGGGTCATCAGATTCCATACTGCTTGCCAGGCTTTTGACTTGGCTCACTGGACGCCGCACCTGGATCTATGTCTACACAGACAGCAGTGGTGCGCGTGGAATCTTGCAGAGGCAAGGGGTAGGGCGCTTACGCCACCTCAGTTGCCGCGTGCTCTGGCTCCAGGCACTCATTGCCAGTGGCACCATTCGTCTTTGTAGTGTCAGCGGCCATGTGAACCCAGCTGACATTGGAACAAAGAGATTGTCGGCGGCTCGTCTCAGAAGTTTGATGGCTGTTTTGGGCCTCTACAACAAGGATGTTGGCGCCTTGGAAGGAGGTGACGACCCTGGAAAGGTCTTCATCAAACGCGAGAGCGTGAGGGCACTGGTTTGCGCCTTGAGCCTCCTGAACCTCAAAGGGTGCAGTGATGAGAGCCCAATGGAGCATGGATGGAATCTTTTGATTTTCACTGCGCTTCTTGGTTTTGTGATGATGGTGCCCCTCATGTTCACCTTGCTTGGTTGGTTTTCGACTTCTATGGAGGCTGATACAGCCCTGAATGCCATCACAGAGCCTTCCACTGAGGCCGCAGCTATGAGCACCGCCAATCCATCTGGAACCAGTGCAAATCCAGTTGAAGTCACAGGCAATTCCTACACTGTGGCAGTCGACACACCTCTTGGCCCTGGCGAGGTGACAGTCTTCACTGGTGCTCGAAGCTCCAATGAGAGCGTTCCTATTTGGGGTGGTGTGGATGAATCTGGAATGCCGAGGTTCAGCACGGCATTTGAGTTGCCAGCCCCTGGAGATGCCTGGTCGCCTGAAGCCATGATTACATGGATGTACGAGCGATGCGCGAGAAGACATGGCATTGCTGCGACAGATGAGAGGAGGCAGCTGTATGCCGAGCGCATGGCCGTTCTCAGAGGTGTCATGCAAGGCTGCAGGTCCACAGATGCTGAGGTGAGACTGGAAGCAAGCCGTATGACCAGGTCAATGACAGACATCTCTGAGGATGAGAACAGCCCTTCCTATAGGCTGAGTACATCAGAGTTTTGCACGACGCTGGACGAGGCCGAAAGAGCAGTTTCAGTTGGCCAGCAGCTGGTGGACACAATTGGAAGTGCCAGCGCATCCAGCAATCCAACAGCTGGAAGTGCTGCAGCTAGCAGCGCTCATGTGAATGCGGTGGCAGATGCAATGATCCGCATGCTCAGCGCCGAAAACCCAGAGGAGGAGACATCAGAGAGCGATGCTGCAATGGAAACTCAGAGCGAGCGAACTCGACGTTATGGCAGCTCTGAACTCTGTGAAGTGAGCGACCCAGATGAGTGGATGCTGTACCACCATGGGCCATCTGACAGCGAAGAATCAGATAGCTTGTGAAGTGGGTAGTATCCATAGCCGAGCTGCCAATCTTTTAGGAGGTGAAGCTTGGTGACCCGTCTCAAAGAGACGATGCAAGAAGTGGCACTCCAAATGGAGCCCCAGCGGCACTGTCATCAACCACCAATAAAGTTTTACTCCATGGCAATACCTGTTGCCTGAGGAGGTAGGTGTAGTGCTGCTGCATTAGCATTTGCAGCAAGGTGGGGTGCAAACTGTTTTCGCTTGTGCAGTGTAGGCAACAGTTGCATTCCATGTCACATAAATCAAGTGTAGTATCAGTCCTTATCTTGAGGCGCTTTCCTCTCAAGGAAAATACGCAATATGTTCTATCACAAACACTCTTGTATATGAACGGATGTGATGCACGCTCACATATGTTTGTGCCCTTGCGAGTTGCTCGCACTTAGAACCTCTTTGTATACATACATACACTAACAAGTACACATATATCATATTACAAACACTTCTGTATATGACTCCGTGTTGTGCGAACTCACATATGTCTGTGCTTGTGCGAGTGCTCACACCCTAAGACTTAAAACCTCTTTGTATACATACTTACATGTAAAATTGAAATGACAATAGATTTTATGTGTGCCGGAAAAAGGCGCGGCCCTCATAGTTGGTTGGTGTTACTCCCTGAGTTTGAACCTTTTGCCAAAAAAATGTTCTAACTGTGGAGGATTTTTGAGGTTTTAACTGTGAGGAGTGAAAATTTTGGAAAATTTTTGAGGTTCTAACTTTGTGTCCGTCAGTATAATTGATTTGCCTGTTTGGAATGAAATTTGTTTCCTCAAAAGCGGGGGTGGTTGTGATTCTGTTCTTTGGTGACATCGCGGTTGTTCGCCGGAAACAAGAGGGAAAGGGTGCGAATGGATGTGCAATGTTTAAACAACCTCAACAATTTTGCACTTGTATTCTTTGTTCATACCAAGTCGGTACCATTTGCTGATTGAGACTTCGTATTTTTAATCGGAAATGTTGCCAATGTCTTTTGGGCGGAAAACCGGCAATAAACGTTTGAAAACAAAAACAAGGGGGCCCCCAGGCGACAGTGTTTGACCGTTTTTGTTGGTTTCTCGATATTTTTTGTTGGTTTGTTCAAACTTTTCAGTTGCTGTAGGGGTGGTGTCTAATTTGCAAAACCCCACCTATAAAGTTTGAACACGATTGTGCAATTAGGCGCCCGTATAATGTGTTGCAGTCTTATGTGGAACGATCCCTGCATCCCCATTTTTCAAAATATTGCAAATCAGATTTCAACACCATGTTGCATGTTTGGACAAAACGCGCCATCGCATACTGTCCTGGAATATCGATGTATATTTTTAGTTTGGACACATGAAGGCACTCCTCTCGTTTCCTCACGCCCCATGCCCCCCGCAAACATTTTCAATTTTTTTGCCTATGGAATGCCTATGGAAGGTTGTCTCGATGTTGGGACAGGCACAATTTGGTATTGGTTTTAAATTTGAAAATCTATTTGGTTTCAAACACATTGGTTGCAAATGATAATTTCATGTCATTGAACGCACTGGAAAAAAAATTGGCACAATTTTATGTGCTGAAGTGTTTGGCTTAAATGCGGTTTCATTCCTGCCAAACGAACGCATGTTTGGAGTATGTGCCGTTCCCCCAAAAACAAAACAATTTTCACTCATTAACAATGGCCAAAACTGCACAAACATCAGCACACCCAGTCATTTTCCCAAAGTTTTCGTTGGAATCGTCAATGCAAATTCTGAACCAACGTTTGCAGTTCGCCGGATTTCATTCTTCGCGAAAGGGTAGATCCTCACGGTGATGTGCGATTTGAGCGACAAAGCGCTGCCAGACTCCTGGAATTGGAATTGTTACATCCAATTTGTTTAACAATTTAATCATTCAGACAATGTTTGTTATCCGCGGCACGAACTGAGGCAGTGATAGTCATGTCTCATGCCACGTGCTCCCAAATTTACTGTTTGCCCATTGATGTGGGATTGGCATTTTGTGGACATGGAATGATTCTTACATTTTGGATGTTTCAATTTTCAATGTGTTTTTGATTCTTAAATTTCTGCCAGGTACCAGAACAAATGGGTGGAGTGCATGCAGGAACTCATGGAGCAGGTGTGCAACCCGAGTTTGGATATTCCCTATCTTATGCCCATCATTGGCGGTTTGCACGTGCAGGTACAAATCGAGTACCTGCCTGTGGACGCGAAAGAGAATGGCCAGCACTTCGAACCCGGGTGCGGTCTTTGTTTTGACAGAAAAAAACAGTTTTTTTTTTTCACATGGTTTCGTAGGGAATGGTAAAAAACAACACGAAAAAACGTAGGAACAATTCTGCAAGTTGCGTGGTGTTCTAATCTGACGAAACCCACTCAAACACCCATTTCCAATTGCACGAAAATACAGAACGTACATCACTGATCATAGTGAATTTTGTAAGAGACACCAATCTTACATGGAATCAATTACAAAGTATTTGCACGTTTACAATGGAGGTTTGTTGGTGTGTTGGTGTGTTGGCCGGATATGATTGAACCTGGTGTCGCGCAGGTTTCAGCATTTCGCCTTGTTGTACATTAAGTACCTGCAAATTTACAGGTGCATTTCGTCAGTTGCAATATGGATCGCAATGTGAAATTTGTATCGCATCATTCTGCTTGCTGCCTTTCGGGTATTGCGGGCATTTTGACTTCCCTCTCCAGCAGTATGGCACGTGAATTGTGTAGATTCTTCTGGCTGTGTGGGCAGGAAATTAGAAGAGTGCCATGACCAAATGGTGCACCCACAAAAGCGCGGCAGCATCAAAAAGGCAAGCGGTGTATTTATTTCGGAGTAAAACGAGTAGAGATTGCATGTTTTTCAGCATAGTACTGATAAATGACCCAAGGAAAGGCCAGGTGGCCACAAACTTAGAGTTGGTGTTTTGATTTTCCGGGTATGTTTTTCTTCCAGTTGTGTGCAAACATAAGTACTCATGCATATTGATTCATCGAAACGCCTTTGTGCAGGTCTTGAAAAGCACAATTATCCGCATTTTGGAGTTGAAGGAGCAGGTTCTAGCAATACACGACACGAGGGGAAACATCTTCCGTTCCTTGCTGTGCTGCTCAGATGTTGGAACAGGGCAGCGTATTGGTCATTTTTCTCCCATCACAACCGACGCCCCGCAGCTCATCACCTTCAACCTTCGGCCTCTCAATCGCTTCGTGGCCTTAGATGAGGCCCCTGAACAGTTGATGATTCGATGATAACTTGATCAACTGATCATAGGTTGATCAGTTGATCATCAATTTATCCCCAGATAGCATAGATAGGAAAACTATTATAGGTTCTTCAAGTATAGGATGAATTGGATATGTGCGTTTTGAAGCGGGCATGTTGGTGCCGATGCAGGGTGCCGCTGCAGGGTGCTGCTTCAGGGTGCTGCTGTCAAAGTGCTGTGTGTGCTTTGGCTTTGGAGCTGGCTTGCTGGTGCCGCTGCAGGGCGCTGGTGCAGGGTACTACTGTCAAAGGGCTGTTTGCATCTTAGGAACTTGGGTGCTGCTACACGGTATTGCTGTCAGAACGCAGTGTGCGCTATGAAGCTTAGGTGCTGGTGTGGCTGCAGGGGGTGGCTGCGGGATGTCTATGGCAGTGTGGGCGTTGGGCCCTGATGGAGATTACGTTTATGCTGCAGCAAGAAATGCGAGCGCTTGGTTGCCACAAAAACACATTTTTTGCTATCTGGGGCTGGTTTATGCTGGCTGAATTCTTGCTGGATATCATGTGGTGATACTATTTGTCCAGATTCTTAGAAATTCTTAGATTTTTTGGACAAAGCCAGATGCTAGGGTCTGATGGCAGGAAGATGGCATTTCATTTCACGAAGAGTGAGAGCAGCTTCCAATATTGATGAAGTTTTTGTCATGTCAGAGCAGGGTGGGTCCTTGGAGTGCATGAGTGTTTTGACAGGTTCTTACAGACCTCAAACTCAATCCCGAGACTGTGGAATGGAAGGCAGGCAATTGAAATCAATGCGTGCAATTTGAGTTGTTGGAGGGAGACACATGGGAACGCCTCAAAGTCATACATACCAACAAACAGAGGATGGATATATACATAAGCACTAAGAATGACGAACCCTTTGCAGCCCAGAGTGGAACCCAAGTTCGAGCAATAGCCAAATGCCTGGTTTCCAGGAGTCTTTGTCAGACATATGGAAAACCGCATTGTACACTGAAGTTAGGGGAGATTGTCTTCAGACATACATCAAATCCAAGAGATGGTGTGGCTGGAAGGTTCCACGATACTTCTTGGATGGAAAGGAGTGCAGAGAGGAGATCGAAGACAAACAACATAAGATTGACCATTGTTGGAAACCCAGGGGACCCCGCGGGACAGGGGTTCCATTTTCAGACAACTGGTGGTTCAAAGCTTGACAAAGCTGTTGTGTGA